TGCAAGTCCCTTTGTGAAATGCGCTACCCAAAAAATTGGTATTGATCTTTGAACTTTATTTTCCTCAAGCACAAAATGATTATTTTCTAATGATTGGAAGATTAATTGGTCTATCACATGTAGAGCATATGGTAGAGTATCAAGCGCATAGTAGGTCCACCTTAGTCAACCTCTCTCAATCTCACCCTCACTAGTTCTCATATTGCCTCCAATATACATGTTTCACCTCGCTGGTAACCCTCAAGGATATGTCCAAAGGGTAGATGAATGGGTTCCACAACCGGAAAGCAATGGATCATGCAAAGGGTGGCTGCCGGGTTAGAAGGAATACAGGTCCCAAACAAGTATGACCAACGTGTCTGTAGGTTTCTACAGCTTTCATAACTCAGGCCTAATGACAAATGTTGGTGAGGATACATAGAATTTGGAACCCTCATCTGTTGCTGTTAAGGATATAAAATGATGCAGCTCTTTTAGAAAAGTGCATAGTAGTTCCTCAACAGATTAAATATAAAGTTACCGTTAGCTTAACATAACAGCCAAAAGACGGAAACAACCAAATATCCATTACCCTTATGAATGGATAAATCAAATGCAAATATTAGAATATTTTGTGGCAATAAAAATAAATACAGTGGAATTACTTGCTACAACTTAGATGAAACTTCAAAACATACCAGGTGAACAAATTCAGTCAGAAACAGTGATATTTTCAATGAATCTACTCACCTGGAAAGTCCAGACTATAGAAATTCATAGAAATAGAAAGGGTGTTAGTTGTTATCTTGAATTGGTGTTGATAAGAAATAGTGACTGCTGATGGGTACAGGGTTTCTTGATAGGTGAATAAAATAGTCTCAAACTGATTGTGGCGAGGTTATAGAACTCAATGAATGCACTAAACACCATTGAGTTATGTACCTTAACTGTGAGTTCTATCTCAATTAAAGCTGTTGAAAAACTCAAAAGAAAGAAAAAGGAGGAGGACAAAGAGTTGCAGAAATGAATTTTGTGGTCAAATTTCCTCCATTCAAAGCTTCAAAGCATCTCAAGTCAGTTATTAGAGATGTGAAGGAGGGAAACCTCTCTCCCTCCACCTTAGGTCTTGTTTGGATTCTTTAGTCCAGTCTAGAAATCAAATCAACTTAAGGCAAATTAACAAGAGCAGAAGCATCTAAGTCTTACTAGTTTTCCACGTCTGTGGGAAATCTCCACAAGACAGTAAAGTTTGAAGAGATATCCAAGCAAGATACTCTTGTACTTTTTGGACTGAGTCATAAATCTTGGGGCAGTGACAAGACATGAGAACAGCTAAACACTGAGCAGTTGGGAAGTAAACACAACAGGAGACCCTAATGGAGCAAGGCTTGACTGCAACTCTCCCTGACACTGGCTCTGAGCAGATAAAACTGTCTCCCCTGTACAGACTGACACGTCCTGTCATTAGAAAGGAGAAAACCAGAAAGTTTCTTTGTGTTAACTTTCTTAGGCCCAATAAAGCTTCAATATTCTAAGGAGGAATATTTTGATTTCCTTCATCTTCCTGAAGATGTGATCTAGCGGTGACAAGCCTGGGATCTGGAGTCTCGATGACCAGGTATGATCCAATAGGCTTCTGTTTCACTGTACATTCCAACAGCATGGCTCCTGGCAGTTGGACACCATGTCCCCCAGGTATCTTCTATTCAACAGTTCTTTCTTCAGCGTGCATGAGACCTGAATAGCTTCATGAAACAAACTTTGCTGCATCCCACTCCTAGTGTCTGATTCAGAGAGACTGAGTAGGGCCAAAGAGTTTGCATTTCCAGTAAATACATAAGTGATACCCATGTTGCTGGCCCTAAAACTGCAGCTGGGTGAGCTAATATTTTAGTTCCAGGGCTTTGTGGGTATCCACTTTTCAAATACCAGAAGCCATCCATAGTTATGTGTGTTAATAAAAAATGACTCTAAATATTTTCTATGGCAATTTCTAAGTGTTGATTTAGTAACTGCAGTTTTAGAATGATGGGGGGGGCGTGAAGAATGAGAGTAGAAGTCCTAGACCACATCTTCCAGCTCTAGGAATCTGGGCCAAAACGCTCACTGACCACAATTTCCTCATCTGTGAGAAATGAATCCCAGTAATGACTCATTAATATAGATAATAAAGTTGTGAAAAAGTGAATGATAATGTAGTTGGAAACAGATGACAAACTCTAAATGCACTAAACTTATGTTCTTAATGCCCACTCTTCAAAACCATTCTCTCAGAGGCCTCCATGTTTTCTAGAATCCTCTGAGACATTACATGGGAACCTAGTCTCAAACCAGCCTGTGCAGGATTAAGATGCTGCCAACTTTTGCACATTTCAAGATGTTCTGCAGAGAACAGGAACTGGGTAAGGCCAGGAAACTATTGAAAAATAAATGTATTATGAAGAAGAAGAATGTATATCATGATTTGCACTGTCTCCGAGTTCTTTAAGTGTTCAGATTACTCATGAATCACAACCAGAAAGCACAGAACAGCTCATGAGCACCAGGACAACAAATCAGAGGGGAGAAGCCTCTTGAGAAGGAACCCTTATCCCTGGCTGTACACGAGACTCACATGGGAAGGTTTTGGAGAATGCTGTTCAGCAGGCCTTCCTTGCTCAGGAGCTTCTGACTTGATTGGTCTCAGGACAACAGCAATTTTAAAAAATATTCCCAGGTAATTCTTAAGAGCTTACAGGACTGAGAACAATTGTTCTAGTATATTAGAAGTCCAAAAGGTCAGTCTAAAGGGACTCTGGTTGCCAGCATTAGTCAGTCACTTAGGAACAGAGATTGGGAGAAAATGGTGCTAAAAACAAAACTGAGATTCAAATACCCATTCAGCCTGGAGCCCTTACCCCCTCTTCAGTAACCATAAACACAGAACAAAGAGTAGACTTAATGCACACACATACAGAGAGACAGAGAGAGAGACAGAGAGAGAGAGAGAGAAGAGAGAGCTTATTTTCAAGTATATGCTTCTTTCTCTTTTAAGGTACCCTTGATTTTCAGTCCAGCCTGAACATCATCTGGTAAATTTCTATAGGTAGGGCAAGGAATTTATAGTATAATCTTTTATAGGCTATATTTATCTTTGATACATTGTTGTCAAACATTAGTGTACAACTCTGAAATTTTTTTTTTCAGTGTAGATACTACCTCCCGAACATTTATAATTTATCAGGTCGAGGGTACAATTCAGGAGTCTGCATTTTTAAAAATGTTATTTATTATTTTTATTTTATGTGTATGAGTATATTGCCTGCAGGTGTATAAGTACATCCATGTTGTGTAATACCTGTGGAGGGCAGAAGAGAGCATTGGATCCCTTAGAGCTGGAATTAGGGACAGTTATTAGCTGCCATGTAGGCGCTGGGAATCAAACTCAGGTCCTCTGCAAAAGCAGTCAGTGCTCTTAACCACTGAGCCTTCTCTCTAGCCTGAGAAGTCTGTATTTTAATAAGATTCATGGGAACTTCAGATATCATGTGGTCAATAACCACAATTTTAAGAAAATTCAAGGACAACTATATGAGCAATGGGAAAAAATATGTACTTAAGAGATGCCAACTAGTTCAAAAGTCTAGATCAGCTAAAACATCAATGAATGTATACCATGACAAGGAATGCATGAAAAATGCTCAAGATCATTAAGGAAAATTAAATGTCCACACTAAATTACCTAACAGACCTATTAGAATGACCAAAATTAAAAAGGAACAGCAATTTCCTGGTAGAGATACACAGTGGTATACTCACTTTAGAAATCAGGCAGTTTCTTTTCAAGTTAAACAGATTCTTATTTAATGGCCCAGAAATCCATTCTTAAGTATTTCCCCAAATTCAATGAAAAAGAAATTATTTATACAAAACTTGTACACATATATAGAAACTGTTTATAATTATTCTTATATAATTACACATAATTTTCACAAACTAAAAACAATCCCAATATCCTTCAAATGGTTCCTTGATATGGCACATTCATTCTGTGGAATCCCACTCCACAATACAAAGGAATGACGTACTGACACACACACAATACAGATGAGTCTCAAACGCAACGTTAAGTGAGTGTGGTATGATTCTATTTATTTGACATTCTGGAGCAGACAAAACTATAGGGGAAGAGAGTAGACTGCTGGTTACCAGGATCAAGTATTGAGAAAGATCTGACTGCAAAGGGATATTAGGAGATGCTTTGGATTGTTGGAACTGTTCTACATCTTGCTGATGATAGGACTGCATGCTGAGCAGTTGAAAAGCTGACCTTTATTTTAAAAGAAAAATCAAGATGAATTAAAAATACCAAAAGACAAAAGGTGGCATTATTCAAATTTAATCTACTATGTAGTTAATAGTAGAGCACAGATTCTAGATGTGAATGGGTCCAATCTCAGTAACTCAGCTAGATGCTTAAGCATATAGATAATGGCCACTTGTTTTCTGCATGGGCCAATAGTACTACCTGCAAATTGGGAATTCTAGTAGTAGACCTGAAACCTCCATATTCCAATACATGAAATTAACAGATATTGGACTAAGAACTTGAAAGAAACAGGCATCAAGGTTATAGGAATCTAAATGACTTTGTCCCTTCAGCTTACTAATTTTGAGTTCAGTATTGAAGTTTCTATCTGGATATTTGGATGAGTCTAGATGGCTAGGCTGAAAAATTGATACAGGACTTGTTTGTGGGAAGTCAAGTGAGACAGAGGGTGGAACACTAAGAGCTGAGAGATGCATACACTGCCAGTCAGTCTTTCTTGAGCGTTTCTAAGCAGAGTGAAGCAGTTGACTTTTGTAACCTCTCTATAAAGTGATTATCTCGGGGGGCGGGGTGTCTTTGATTTACATGTTCCCCGAGTATTCCTAGAAGTCCACCTTAAAACAATCTGAATGTACTCAAAGCCAATTTCTCAGCATGGAAAAGTTTTGCTTGAGCAATGACACACTGCAGTTGGATCCTGTTCACCCACATCTGGAAGCCACATGTCAGCAGCAGCTGTATAAAAGTCAGCCCAGCAAACCTAGTGTGACTTTTTTTGCCCAAAGCCAGGCAGCATGGACCTCACTCTTCTGTGGGTACTTCTGCCACTGGTCACCATGGCCTGGGGCCAATATGGTGACTACGGGTACCCGTACCAGCAATACCATGACTACAGCGATGATGGCTGGGTGAATCTGAACCGACAGGGCTTCAGCTACCAGTGTCCCCACGGACAGGTGGTGGTGGCTGTAAGGAGCATCTTTAGCAAGAAGGAAGGCTCTGACAGACAATGGAACTATGCCTGCATGCCCACATCCCCGAGTCTCGGGGAACCCACGGAATGCTGGTGGGAGGAGATCAACAGGGCTGGCATGGAATGGTAAGAGGCAGCCAGCGCTCTTGGGCTGGGAACTTCTCTTCATGTACTCCTGCAGATGATTGATCCTCAGGGAATAGCAGTGTCTGAACCCTTTGCAAATCCTAAATTTTCTCTTCTATGCTCTGGTGAGGTAGGGCTGCTGTAATGTAGCTGGCTTCACAGGGTGAAAAGCAAGACAGGATACATCCATGGGAGATGGACTTCATTGTGGTTCTATTCCATCCAGGGTGTCCACAGGCTTAGTGTGGCTCACAGGCTGGGTGTGTAACTGTGGAATGTTTCTCAGACTGCAAAAATTGAAATGACTTAGGGAACTTTATAGTATTTGAGCATTGCTGTGGAATTGGATTATTTCCATTTTGTAATGACTTACTTTACTTTCTTTACTGTTTCACAGTTTGAGGAAAGTAAACAATTGGGTGCTTAGCCAAGATAGTTTGAAAAATATTGATTTCGGGCAAGTGAATGGGTGGACAGGATAAAGAAACAGAAGCAAAGGTAAGCTAAGTTAAACCGTTCTCTGCTGTCTGATGAAATGTGTTCTGTCAGTTTTGAGTACTGAAATCCTTTTCTCTGTTGGAATTTAAAGTAGGTATTGTTGCTGGGATATAGTTTACTAAAGGATTTCTGAGAGGTGTTGTTTTGCTGACTGCCTTTTGCCTTCTGCCTTAATCAACGAATGGAACTGGTCTGGGTTTGTGCTTCTCTGTAGTGTATGACTGTCCCAGCCCTAGTATTTGATCAGAAGCTAAATCAGTTATTCGCAGCTGCTTGAAGGGTGCCCAGATTGCAGGGTGTGTGACAGAATAAAGGCCGACCCTGGGGGAGGCAGGCTGAGGGAGGAGGAAGCCCAGCTGTCAGGCTGGCATGTATGCTATCCATACAGCAAGTCAGACCACCCTGTGAGGAGCTCCATTAAGGCCATAGTGGAGTTGAGGGGGGAGTGATCAACCTAAAACCTTGGGGGTTACACCACCAGCCATCCAGAAGGAAATGGGACATGTGAGTGGAAGAGCTTAGGAAGAAGAAGGCATCTAATAAAAACAGCTTTCCTGAGCAGATACCATGCTAAGGACTTTATATGGATTATTTTCATTTTATGCTCTAAACAAATCTATACATGATGTTATAGGCAGACACACTGGTCTAGAGATAAGGTAAATTTCCTCAGTTAAAAGCTAAGATTCAGATCCAGAAAGTCTTAGCTCTAAAGAACATATGTTTAGCTACAATGACGGGCTGCAGAAGGCCTAATGCACCTACCTCGTGTGGACTTTGTCAGCAGAGCCAGTGCCCAGAACCCATTCCTCATCCTGGGAGAGGGTGGGATCTGCAGGAACCTAGCAGAAGCTCAACCATGGTGGGGTGGGGTTCCTGAGGAGGGGGTGGAGAGAAAAGGGGTGGAGAGAGTATCACACAAGCAGTTGCAGGTTTGAGGGGCTACAGAAGCTGGACAGCCTTTATGAGGCCATCTTCATCTACCCCTCTGTATCTGGCAAGCAGATTCAATGACCTAAAACCCTTTCAGACAAATGGCTGACTCAGAGACAAACTTAGCCTTGAGGACTGACCCCACTGACTCCCAGCGGCAGGTCTGATGCCTGGCATGAGGGGTGGAAATGACCTAGTTGCAATTGTCCCTCTAGTCCTCTTCAGGCAACTATCATGTAGTGGGGCCTTGTTATAACCCCCTTGTTAGAGTCACAAGAAGATGGCTCTCAAACCCTAAAGGGAGAGGCCCTGAGCTGAGTCAGAGGCTGGGGTTTAGTTCTGGTGCTAATGGCAAAGCTCCCTGTGGCCTCAGCTGTCTCTCCAAGGCTGCCTTTGTAGAATGAGCCCCCAGACTCTGCAGCCTCTATGGGCTCCGCTGAACAGCACTTCACAGGGTGTCCCTGGCTTTTTCTTGCATTCTCTTGATCCTAGCTCTTCTCCCTAGCTCATCCTGGCTAGGAGAAAAACCAAATGATATTTAGTTTGAAATTTACCAGCCGGGCCTGATTTGTCATGAACTCCCAAGCTATTTGAAGAGAATCAGAAGAGGAAAGCAGTGAAAGAATATGATTTTTTTCCGTTTTTATTCTTTTCCACTTTTGTGGCCCATGGGAGGCTAAGTGTAAAGCTGACAGGCAAGACATGTCTCCCACCTCCTCTTCTTCTGCATTTTTGGTGAGCAGAATCCAGGATTTTGTTTCCTCCGTCTACCCTCTGTTGTCTCCTTCTCCCCACCTCCACTAATCACAAAGCTGGAAACTCATGAACATGCAAGACAGTTTTTTCACTATAGGACCAGCTGCCCCAGAACCGATACCAATTACTCCCCAGGCATTTGTTTTCAGACGATTATGACTTTGAGTTCAGACTCCAGTCTCAGTGAAAAATTTGGAAGGAAAGAAATTATTCACAGGCTGGGGAGCAATTACATCTTCCTGCTGGCTGCAGGCTCTTAATCTGTTCTGGGGGAGGAGTTGTTGATGATTTTATGCAGTTTGGCTGTCTCGTGTAAGTAAATTAGCTTTCAGGTTTATTTTAAGAAGGAGAAGGAGTCTCTAACACAAACTTGACAATAGACAGGATCTGTTGCAAAAGCTTGCTAATGGGGCACTTTCTTAAAGGGGGCTGCTGTCCTGGATGAGGGTATTAATCACCGTTTCTCTGCTGAAAACCATCTTTTCAAATACAGTGTTCTACAGCATGATTATGGTTTTCCACCACTGGAACTTCCAGGAGGCTTTACCTGATTCTCCATGAGTACAGTCTTGGGAGGTTGTACAGGGAGGCAGCAGTTCTGAACTGTTCTCAGGGGATTCTTCTAACTTTAGTCAGCATACACTGTGGGACATAGGAGCCCTGTGCGGACCAAGATGGATCAGAACATTGTCATGATGCCGAGCCATCTTGTCACAAAGGTTCTCTGAGCTAAGACTCTTCATAACTCCCGGTTGTCTCATCACTTAGCAATGGAGTCTTAAGTATTCCGTTCCTTCTGTAGAAGGACGGGGGGGAAGGGAGGGAGGAGAAAAAGAGGTGCGAGAAGAGAGGAGAAATAAGGTGTGATGCTTACATGAAAAAGGATGGGAGAGTTCTAAAGTAAATCTGTTCCTGAAACGAACACCTGGCCCTTAACATCCTATTGATAAGCAGTCAAAAAAGATTTAGTGACTATGGAATTTGATGATGAGACTCATTTGGTGCAAACCAGGTTTATATGGAGTCTGAATTTAGAGGAAGAATACTCTATATATTTGAATCACTTTTACCCCATGTGCAAAGACATATTAAATCAACAATTTTTAAAAATATTTTATTTATTATTTTTATTTTATGTGTATGATTGTATGCCTACATGTGTGTAAGTGCACCCATGCCATGCAAAACCCGTGGACGTCAGAAGAGGGCATTAGATTCCCCTGGAACTGGAGTTGTGGACAGTTGTTAGCCATCATGTAGGTGCTGGGGATTGAACCCAGGTCCTCTGCAAGAGCAGTCAGTGCTCTTAACTGCTGGGCCCCTCTCCAGCCCAAACCATCATTTTTAATTAGAGCTGAATTTATGAATTAATTTGTCAATGACAATGACATGACTGAGAGAAAAGAAAGAACAAATATCCCACAGAGCTACAACAGCATCAAGGCAAGACTGAAGCTGGACATATTGGCCAGGAATTCAGTTTTCCATAATCTGACTGTAATTGAGACTGATGTTCTATGTAGTGTAGAACAACCATCCCAACTCATGATCCCGAGTTTTTCATATGAAAAGTGCTCACCTTCTTTACACCTATGTCCCTTACCCTCTGCACCCTCCACTTGCTCTGTTTTCTGAGTATACTCAATACTACCAAATCTATATTTGCTTACTGTTTGTCTCTCATTAAATATAATCTTCACAAACATGTATTCATTACTGTATACCCAGTGCTAGAATAATGCTAGCATGTATCAGGCCCCCAATAAACATGTAGTAAAAGACTCAATAGGTCTAGTTGGTGCTTAAGGCAGCCCAAATCCCAGCCAGTGCCTCTATCACTCTCAACAATGAAGCCTAAAGATTTTCCCATAGATAAACTATTTTGTCTTAGGTCATTGATTTCTGGTATTTCCATATCTATAATGTTAGACTTGACATCACATTTTATCACGCTCACCAACATGTAGGATGGTCTTTTGAGGAACCCTAAGATCTCTAAAGTGTACAGAACATTCATGACACATATTGTTAATCACAGAATGATCCCTTTATTGGATTTGCATTCTCCTAATAATCTTAATGTCTCAATAAACTAAAACACTACATAATAAATTCCTTATTTCAAAAGACCCAGTTGTTATATAATATCCTGGCTTAGATCCTAGGCCAATAAAAGGACATTAGTGGAAAAAGTGATGAAATTGGAATAATGTCTAGCATTTAGGGTTCTGCTAAATGTCAAATTTTGGTTTTCAGAGATACGCTTGAGTTATAACAGCACTGTGGAAGCAGGGTAAAAGACAGGCATGTATCTTGTGTCATCTTTAAACCTAAAATCATTTCAAAATAAAAAATTAAAGACAACATAAGAATTCAAGCTGGCTGAATACATACTGGAAATTTAACAGACAAACCACATACAATATCCAGGGATCCCAAGGCTGGAAGGGGCCCCAGGTAAAATACAGAGCAATCTTCATTCATAGGTCAGGAATTAAAGCCCAAGAGTGAAGCAACTGAAGAGTGAACAAAATCTTCATAATCAGTATGAGTTCTATGACCCAAACCCTGATTTATATGGTGATTGTTGGCCTGTGTTTCCCTCATTTGTACATGAATTTTCCCATTCAGTGATTGTTATCATGAATTTTGCCAGACTGTAGGAATATGAAGATTAATAACACAACTCTGTGCCCATGAGCTACCCATAGCTCAATCTTATTTTGTCTTCACAACAGTATTGGGAAAGAGGTATTGTCTCTGTCTTACACATAGGGAGACCATAGCTCTGAAGCATTAGGGGACTCCCACTC